TCTTAATTCCTATTCTTTTATTCTTCTCGCTCCTTTATAATGTTTTTTTTTCTTATATTCTCTCACGCTTGGTAAACCCTTGTGTTTTAATGGATTTATCGTCTTGCTTAGAGTGAAATGATTAAAGAGAAAGAAAGAAAACAGAATGCATGGTTGTCAGCAAAAGAGACAGTCCAAAGTGTGAGCCAGGAATTGGGAACGTCAAGCAGGTACAAAAAATTTAACAAATTAGTGTAGTATGTTACAGAATGCCTAGGCCAGGGCCAGAATGGTCAGCGATTGGTTAGAGTGCCTCGTGGGCGGGGCATTCAGGCAGTGATAGATTGCCTTTGTCTGGGTTTTGGAGATGTCCAAAACGGCGCGAATCCAACAGACGACCGCAAGTATTCTGAAGGGTCAGGTTTGAGAGACCGACTCAGACCACCCGCGGAGACGCTGAACCAACATGTGTTCCTGTAACGTCATTCCTTCTACTGCCTCTTAGAATCCAACCTGCCGCCGTTCTCTCTCCTAATTAAACGAATGAGAAAAATAAATGGCGCTTTTTGTTGATACCATGCTACATAGCGTGGGGACCCAGAGACAACACAGAACGCAAAAAGTAATAGACGACGTAGTTTGTGATGCAGACATCCAAAGTTTCCGAAGGTGCACTGGCATAGTGAAAGATGCCTTCCAATAGCTAAGCAAAGTAACCGGAAAAATCAATAGAAACAAAGAAAAGAGTGCTGAACTATTATGCAATATCAGACCTCCTACATAACAGGGAATGCTTGACAATCTCCTCACAGATGACGAACAGACATGAAGCAACAGATATGTGATTCTACAAGAGGATGCTGAGAATACCATGAACTGAATATGTGAGCAACGACGAAGTTTTAGAGAAAATGAAAACAAAAGGACACTTAACATGAATAAGTGAGAGTTGAAATTTCGAGAGAACATAAAGAGGAAAGAGGGCTTAGAAAATGTAATACTCACAGGATATATTAAAGGCAAGAGGAACCGAGGAAAAACAGCGAATAACCTTCCTAGCGAACTTTTGTAAATGTTTGGCACAACAGGGATTAGGAGAGATAGCAAAAAGTCAACATTCACGGAGAGCTACAAATTAAAAGAAACCGTGGAGAACCATCATCGCTCAAGTCCTGAAGGGAGATGACACGAAGAAAGAGAGTCAAATTTAGTATCTGTCTATATTTCTGAGATGAGGTATTATGTAAATTATTTACATTATTCGGACTATTGTTCTCATCTTTGTCGCCATATTTATTACAACGTTTCGGCCGTTGTACGCTAAGGCCTTCTTCAGGTGGTTAGAATATTGAACTGAACCCTTTTATTCGCTCACTGGGGTAGACCTCAAGGACATATGGCACAGTGGATAAAGGCGTTGGTTAGATCCAGTGACAAGACCCAAAGAGTGTGAGTTCAATACCCGGTTAAGGCAGTGGAGAACTTTCAGAGGGAAATTAACAGGAGATAACTGATAACTGACACCCATTAAACACGGCATGTGGAATTAAAACACTCTACTCCAGTGAGCGAAATAAAGGGTTCAGTTCGACATTTCGAAGGCCGGAGCGTACAACGGCCGAAACGTTGTAATAAATATGGCGACAAGGATGAGGACAATAGTCCGAATAATGTAAATAATGAGTCAAATTTAGTTCCCAAAAAACAGTCACACATTGAATATTGCTGCCGCTTCTTATCTGGTGCTTCTGTTATGTATTTAGAGATTCTTGATCAAATACAAAGAAGAATCTGCAATGTTATTAGTCTTGACCTGGCATCTCGGCTTCATTGATCAGCAATTCGAAGTAAAGGTTTCTGAAATAGGTTATTTATTTTCTTTGTAGATATATGACTTATTGTTATGAGATAATGGTAGTAGATAGTCATGGTATTCAGATGTTCGTGAAGTAATTACATTCTAACAGAAAGGATATAAAAGCAAGTGTAAGGTCAGATGTCACTTAGACACATTGATCAAACAGCACTCGGAAACAAGATGACAAGATTCAATTTCTTTCGCCTGGGTGTCGAAAGACAGACGGATCTCTTTACCTAGCGATGATGTAAACGCGTCAAAGCTGGCTATTTTGAAGAAATATTTGAGGATCTTGTTAAAAGGAACTGAAGGATTATCGACGAACTGAAGGATTATCAACGAATTTTATAACGTATCTTCTCTATGCCTTTCCTATAAATACTTTCATGGCAATTGTTCGGATACACTCTTTGCTATGGTAGCTGGACTTTATGAATTTAAGCACAGTACTAGATTGGCGGTTAGGTCTCATCAGTTCGCAGGATTCGAACTTGCGTTCCCTTCCCGGAGAGCGCATATTTTTCTGTAAAAAGATTTCTCGAGCATTCAGGCCTGTAGATGAAAACAAATAAATATATTTAATGAGTAGAGTGTCAACTCAAATATGTGTATCTAATAAAAATAACGTTTAAGTATTAAAAATATACATGTTTGTGTAGACATGATTAATTGAGGCGGAAGTATGTGTGTTTCATGTTGTAGTTTTGTTGAAATTACATTTTGGAATACTGTTTGATTTCTTTAAAAATTGTAGGATATTATGTGGATTAATGTCATCAAAGAGTTCTTTTGATTAACGACACATCAACATCTATGGGTTATTTAATTCTGAAATCTAAATATTTTGTAAACAATTTTATGGCTTCAACTAAAAATATTTTGAACTGAATTGTATGTCTTCAACTATAGATAAAATGTATTGCTGATCATTTTACTTTAAAATGGTCGTCTATGTAATAAATGCGAAAGTCAGTTTTTTACTATGTAACACGTTTTCAATTAAAGGGACATAACTCTCTAACTTTTAATAGCTCATGTCGCAGAAATTTTGGATCATTATGGCTATTGTTTTCGGCGATTTTTACGTGATTTTTTTTTACAACAATTTTGATAACTTGGAAATAAATTTGGGAATTATCGAAATTAAATGCGAAATCCAGTGAAAGTTACCCATGAAATAAAAATAATTGTTTGTACAGAAAGTAAGGACCTACCTCCATAAACTTGTCTTTAAATTAAGAGGCGGTAAGAAGAATTATCGTTGAACTTTTAAAAGGTAAGCTTAAATATTAATGCAATACTTAAATGCAGGGATCAATTTTGAGTTCTTCTGTAGTTTATTGTTGCCTATCCAATACGGCAGCAGCATGCCTCGCAAAAAGAAATCTCCGCCAACAGAGGACCAGATTGCAATCAAAAGAGTCAAGGTTGCAGCAAGGAAAAGCAAGTCTCTTGTAAAATAAAAACCCAGATCAAACGGAATCCAGGAGAGTTTTCAATGCTGAGAATATGCAAAGACTCAGGGACTCTTCAACTCCTGAACAAACCGAAGGTCAATCAAGAGGCCTTCCACGGGAGCTAGCTTAAATACCGCGCGATAGGGCGGCTTTTAAGCTAGTTTTAATATAAACATATATTAGGGGTTATTTTACTATGAATATGTATCGGTGATTTTTTTTAATATAAAAATGTATTGCTAGTTATTTTATAAAAATGCGCTGTTGATTGTTGCTTGGGGGTTAAATATTTGTCCGTAGCTGGGACCTTAAAAGTGTTACCATCCCGGGTCAGAGTGGGCATGGGAACAACAACAATTAAGAGGTGGTTACAGACTCTTCCAACCTTCCAATCTCACGATTAGATGCTTTGCTACCGGAAGTAGTTTATGTTGCAGTTTTTTTGTGTATATATATCTACTAGTGAGCCAACCCAAATAACTTGACTCACTTTATAGTCCACCAATGGAAGGTTAACCAATCGGAAGACGTAGAATATTCAATCCGTCGTGTATAAAGGCGGCCATTTTGTTTACTCTATCCGAATGTCCTGTCCAGCTTGTCAGGCGAAGAGGAACAGAAGGAAGAACTACGCTCTGCTACTTTACCACTGCTAACCTGAACAACGCTTTCCTACTGTCTTCGAAATATTCACTGCTAACCTCTGGATTCTATACTCAAAGACGAGCGTCATCATGAACAACAGTTTAAAGAAACCTGGGTTTTGTTTTCTCCACCAATATGTTTGAAATATTATTTCCAATTTCTTTCGTTTCAGAATGTTCCGCCATTTTTGAAATGTCCTAATGATCAAAACAGGAAAATCGGTTGGCTCTAAATCTGGTGAGCATTATCGATACAGAAAAACTTCCAATCCTAACGATTATGTTTTTGCGCGGGTTTGTTTTGGAAGGGTATGCCACTGGATTATCACATTGTGTTGTAGGTTGGTGAATGGTTGACTATGAAATATTGACTTTGTAAATATTTTTAATGAGGTGCTGAAACTTTGATAAAAAAATGAAAATAAAATTAATTCCAACTTTAAACATGACCAAAAGCCTCAAGATAAATTTACCCACAAATGTTATGTGACAATGAAAGATGAGGGATGGACTAAGTGAATTTGAAATAGAGTGTCATCCATTATCTAAAAAGAGAAGAAAAAATAGGCCAATCTAGTAAAACTGACGCCATATTTGAAATCAGCATCTCGGAATGAGGAATCGGAAAGCCGTGTTCGAATTGCAGCCGAGTTGGTTACACGTTCGTTACGCGCAAATCCCCTTAGGAAAGATATGAATCCAACTATTCTCCCTCCATCTATGGGTTGAATCAGAGGACAGACATTGTTGGCAACCAGTCTACCGCAGAAAGAAATGGTAACCTGCTGCGCGGAAAATCTCCTGCCTAGTCAGTCATTGATTAGAAGAGACATAATCGCCCAGGCGTGTATAACTTAAATGGCTGACTGATCCAATGTCAGCTAAAAAGAAACAGACGTTTTTTTTTATATAATTAGCAATGAAGTTCTTATATCATTGCATGTGCTATACATCAACTCTTCAGGGGATCAATTATAACATAGTGTCTATAGATTAAAGAAGAAATCTGATATATATACTCTCTTTTATTTAACATTCTAATTTTACCTTGGCATTAAATCACTAGCGTGTGTGTGTCTGCCTGTATATATACAGAAAAGAAAAGAGAAAGGAGGAAAAAGAAAGAAAAAGAAAAGAAAAAAGAAAGAAAGAACAGAAAGAAATAAAGAAAAAGAAAGAAAAGAAAGAAAGAAAAGAAAGAAAAAGAAGCAAAGAAAGAAAAAAAAAGAAAGAAAGAAGGAAAAAGAAAGAATAGAGAAAAAAGAAAAAAAGAAAGAAAAAGAAAGAAGGAAAAAAAAAAAAAAAGGAAGAAAGAAAAGAAATAAAAAAAAAAGAAAAAGAAATAAAAAGGAAAGAAAAAGAAAAAAAAAGGAAGAAGGAAAGAAAAAAAAAAGAAAGAAGGAAAAAGAAAAAAGAAAGGAAAAAAAGAAAAAAAGGAAAAAAAAAAAAAAAAAAAAAAGAAAAAAAAAAAAAAAAAAGAAAGAAAAAAAAAAAAAAAAAGAAAAGAAAAGAAATATCTAAAAAGAAAGGAAAAAAAAAAAAAAAAAAAAGGAAAAAAAGAAAAAAAAAAAAAGGAAAAATAAAAATAAAAAAAGAAAAAAAAAAAAAGAAAAAAAAAAAAAAAAAAAAGGAAAAAAAAAAAAAGAAAGAAAAAACCTTTTTTTAAAAAAAAAAAAGAAAGAAAAAAGAATAGAAAAAAAAAGAAAGAAAAAAAAAAAAAATAAAAAAAAAGAAAAAATAAAAAAAGAAAAGAAAAAAAAAAAAAAAAAAAAAAAGAAGGAAAAAAAAAAAAAAAAAAAAAGAAAAGAGATAAAAGAAAAAGAAAAAAAGAAAAAAAAGAAAAGAAAAAAAAAAAAAAATGAAAAAGAATAAAAAAAAAAAAAAAAAAGAAAAAGAAAAAAAAAAAAAAAAAAATGAAAGAAATTTGAAAAATAAAAAAAAAAAGAAATATTTTAAAAAATGGAAAAGAAAAAAAAAAAAAAAAATAGAAAAAAAAAAAAAGAAAAAAAGAAAAAAAAAAAAAAAAGGAAAAAGAAAAAAAAAAATTAAAAAAAAGGAAAGAATAGAGAAAAAAAAAAAAAAAAGAAAAAAAAAGAATAAAGAAAGAAAAAAAGAAATAAAAGAAGAAAAAAAGAAATAAAAAAAGAAAAAAAAAGAAAAAAAAGAAAAAAGAAAAAATGAAAAAAAAAAGAAAAAAAAGAAAAAGAAAAAAGAAATAAAGGAAAAATAAAGAAAGAAAAAAAAAAAAAAGAAGGAAAAAAAAAAAAAAAAAAGAAAAAAAAAAAAATAAAAAAGAAAGAATAGAAAAAAAAAAAAAAAAAAAAAGAAAGAAGGAAAAAGAAAGAATAAAGAAAGAAAAAAATGAAAATTTGAAAAGAAAAAAAAAAAAAAAAGAGAAAGAAAAAAGAAAAAAGAAAAAAAAAAGAAAAAAAAGAAAGGAATAAAAGAAAAGAAAAAATGAAAAGAAATAAAAAAGAAAAATAAAAAAAAAGGAAAAAAAAAAAGAAAAAAAAAAAAGAAAAAGGAAAAAAAAAAAATAAATAAATAAAAAAAAAAAAAAAAAAAAAAAAAAAAAGAAAAAAAGGAAAAAGAAAAGAATTTTAAAGAAAAAAAAAAGAAAGAATAAAAAAAAAATAAAGAAAAGAAAAAAAAGAAAAAAAAAATTAAAGAAAAAGAAAAAATAAAAAGAAAGAAAGAAAAAGAAAAGAAAAGAAAAGAAAGAAGAAAGACAACGTAAAAATGAACGAAAGAAAAAGAAAGAAACAAACAAATATAGTAAGATATTGCACATAGAAGATTTGGTTGATTGATGTTGTTTAGCGACATATCAAACTCTAAGGCTTTTTTAATGCCGAAATCTAAATATTTTGTACGCAATTGCATGTCTTCAACTACAGATTAGGTCATTTTACTATAAATAGGTATTGTTAGTAAGTTTTTATATAGACACAACGTATTGCTGATATTTTACTATAAGAACGTATTTTTATACTTTCAAAGTGTTTTGCTTTTGTTTTACGGTTCACTATTTGCCCATCGCTGGGACCCTAACAGGTGCTACCACCCCGGGTCAGGATGTATCTGGAAACAACAGCAAGTAAGAGGTGGTTCCACGCTCCTGAAAACCTCCAATCTCCCGATCAGACGCCTAAAACTTAACCAGTGTTGTTTGTTGTCAGTCTTTTCTGTAGTCTGATTCAGTTAAGATTTAATATGTATATTCATGAATGGATGGCTGTTAATATTTTGTTGCTCTTTTAATGAGGTACTGAAACTGTGATGAAAATTAAAGCAAGGCAATAAAGCCACTAAGACGCAAAGGGAGGATACTATGTGTAGGAGAATATAAGGAAAGAAAACTAATATTAAAGAGCAAGAACAATAAAAGAACATGAATTAAGAAGACAAAAACATAATGATTGACATTGTATTTAAATTTTTGAAGATCACACGTGACTGGAAAGCAAGAAGCCGGAAAAGAGTTCCACAAGCGAGAAGTGCAAGAAAAAAAACAAAAACAAAAAGAAAATGATGAGACCTTACCGCCAATCTAGTACTGCGCTTAAATCCATAAAGTCTAGTTGCCAAAGAAGAAAGCTCACCAGAAAAATTGCTATGAGAATATTTATAGAAAAGGCACAGGGAAGCTTAGTTACGGCGGTGGAAAAGTGACTGAAGCCGAGATGGCTGGTCAGGACTAATAATATTGCATATTCTTTTTTCTATTTTATCAAGAATCTCTAAATACATAACAGGAGCACCAGACCAATTCCAACTTTAAATAGGATCACATAACGAAAGATAAATTTAGCAACCGATGTTATGTGCTAAGCTAAGTTTATCTGAAAGATGGACGAACAGAATTCAAAATAAGGAATCATCCATTATCTAAAAAGAGAACAAAAAACAGCCCATCTAGCAAAACCGGCGCCATATTAGGAATATTCTTATTTCATTATTAATAAACTTCTCATATCGTTGCCAATGTTATATATCAAGTCTTTGACGGACCAACTCTAATACAATCGCTCAAATACTGACGGCCTCTACCAAATGCTTCAAGACCTTCCCAAAGCAAGAATTATGATTTGTAATTGCAATGGAAGCAGTGATGCTACCGACACTGCATCCAACATAATACTTCAGAATGTAAAATTAACAAATGCTTAAAATATTTCACATAGCTCGGTGTCTAGATGAATAATAACAAAATAAAACTGTTTACATTCCATCACCGCTGATCAGACCCCAAACTACCGTCAGTAACGATGAACGGATGTCACCTCGAGGAAACCCCGTGTCTCGAGAGAATATTGAACATCAAACTCACACCCGACCTCAAGTGGAATTCCTATATACGATCAATAGCTAAAGATGCAGATAAAATGGCCATCTCCCTGTGCCACTCCAGTAAGTACCTGACTGCTTATGCTTTCTTCTATCTTTATGAGAGCCAGATCCCAGCGAATCTTATATATGTTGTTCTTGTTTTAAGTATTATCATTCATTACCAACCTTCGTTTGATTATTCTATTCAGTAACCTTCCCTAGGTTAGAACAATTAGTCATCAGAGGTTGGAAGCTGACCTCTCTTCTAATCTAACACTAACTTCCCAGTGGAGAAAAACTGATTATATTCAATGCCTCAAACTAGTTTCATTCCATTATCACCGACCAGACCCCGAACTACCGCCAGTAACGATGAACGGATGTCCCCTCGAGGGGGCACTGTACCTTGAGAGAATATTGAACCTCAAACTCACGTCCGACCTCAAGTTGAATTACTATATACGATCCATTGCTAAAGATTCAGGTACAATGATCAGCTCTCTGCACCATTCCAGTAAGTACGTGTCTCCTCATGCAATCTTTTACATTTATAAGAGCCGGTATCAGGCCGAAAATGGAGTACTGTTGTCATATTTGGGCGGAAGCTGCCCTCACTTTCCAGTCTTGATAGAGTTCAAAAGTGTCTCCAAGTCCTTGTTGGGGAAGAATTATTTTCCACTCTTCAACCTCTCTCCCACAGGCGGGATGTGGCAAGCGTCTATCGCTATTCCATGGAAATTACTCGTTCCACCAAGTCTATCCATTACCCCACCGTGCCTCCTTTACATTCGATACCTCAGAACCCAAACTGGTTACATTCCATCACCGCCGACCAGATCCCGAACTGCCGCCAGTCACGATGAACGGATGTCCCCTCAAGGAAGCTTCGTGCGTTGGGAGAATATTGGGCCTCAAATTCACACTCGCAGTAGGTTGCCATTTCATTCTGCGGTAGAGCAGTTGCCATCCGCCCATAGCTGGAGGGAGAAGAAGAGTATTGGCATTAGTATTAAATGTAATGGATTCGCCTGGAATTCAAACTCGGCTCTCCGATTCCTCAATTTGAGCCGTTATCTATTATTCCACCGTGCCTTTACATTCAATGCCTCTAAAACCAAAGTGGTTACATTCCATCACCGCTGATCAGACCCCAAACTACCGTCAGTAACGATGAACGGATGTCCCCTGGAGGAGGCACCGTGGTTTGAGAGAATATTGGGCCTCAAACTCACACCCGACCTCAAGTTGAATTCCTATATACGATCCATCACTAAAGATGCAGGTAAAATGGTCAGGTCCCTGTACCACTCCAGTAAGTACCTGACTGCTTATACTTTCTTCTATCTTTATAAGAGCCAGATCAGTCGAATCTTAGGTGTTGTTCTTGTCCTCAGTATTATCATTCATTACCAACCTTCGTTTGATTATTCTATTCAGTAACCTTCCCTAAGTTACAACAATTAGTCATCAGAGATTGGCAACTGACCTCTCTTCCTATCTGAACACTAACTTCCCAGTGGAGAAAAACTGATTATATTCAATGCCTCAAAACCCAAATTAGTTTCATTCCATCATCGCCGACCAGACCCCGAACTACCGCCAGTCACGATGAACGGATGTCCCCTCGATGAGGCACCGTACCTTGAGAGAATATTGGGCCTCAAACTCACAACCGACCTCAAGTAGAATTCCTATATACGATCTATCGTTAAAGATTCAGGCAAAATGATCGGCTCCCTTTGTGCCAAATCTGACTTTGACTCACTTCTAGCACTTCTACGTGCCGCTGTCGAATTTTATGTGTTGTTCGTGTCCTAAGTATTATCGTGCATTACCAACTTTCGCGTGAATATACTAGTCAATGACCTTCCCTAGGCTACAACAGTTACTAAATGAGGAATCACCAAAATGGAGGGTGGAAATAAAATGGTAATCTTTATAACATCAACAAAAATACAATACTCGCCAGCGGCGTGAAGTAGGTAAACCACTGCTAGTGGTGAACTACTTAGATAGCATATTACAACATTTACCTGCCTTCCCACGAGGTAGGATGCAGCACTAAAATTGCCCGTAGACCCCGCATATACGGGATCGGGTATCTGTCTACTTCCCCGGACGAGACTCTGCCCTTCGGCAGAGGCTCGTCCGGGTTCCTCTCTGACAGAGAGTTCGAACGACAAGAGCTTCCCATGCTGACAGCTCACACTGCCAGCATAGACAACAGATTACCACCACTTACAATAGTGCCCAACGTATTTATGAGGATTGGGACACACCCATTAGTGTTCATAGGTGCGGTATATAACATAAAGAAAAAAATAGCATAGAAGATAAGGAAATTGAATATAGAATAGGCTGCACTTGTGTTAGTCTTGCACAATACCAAAAGTTGCTACAAAACCATAACATTAACTTAAGAATTTAAGTAATGTTCTTAATTAGCCTTGTCAGATCAAGACTTGCATATGATTGTTTTGTAAGGCACCAAACACGTTCAGAAATATCTTGTTGGCAGTATACAACCGCTTTCTCAGTTTAATGGTTAAAAGGGGATTCAAGCAAATGAAGCCTGTGGGTCTTTGTGAGGATCGTCATACTTCAGACTGCAAAATCACAAAGAACTGTAGCAAATAATTGAAATCCCATCATTCGGGGACTACCAACAGCAGCAACAACCAAAATGGATATCACGTTTAACTCAAAGAGAAAATAATGGCACAGTGTAGATGTTTACGTTTCACACTCTCTCTTTATATGCCATGTCCCTTCCGGGCGTAGGCGACCCCGGCTCTCCACAACTTCCTGTCCCTTGTAGCTTTTTGTCTTTCTGCTATTCCTCCAAGCCCTGTTCCGCCATCCATTTACCTAAGATCAAGTATGTCATGCGTTGTCTTCCGCTGTCGCCTTTGCCCTCTGTCTCGTGAGTATCAGATTTTCCAAGCCCTCCTTCCTCATTACATGCCCTAGAAACCTCAGCTCTCTCTGGCTGATGTTACCGGGCTTGTCTTAAACAAATTTACAAAGCGCGTCCAATTTCCACAGAAAAAGATGTTCCACACCGGGTGTCACAGGGTAGTATAATGGTTCGATTGATTATTGGTAATGGTAATAATAGCCATTTCCCTATACGGAAACATTTAGTATTCATTGACGAAGCAACCAGTACTGCTTTCAACTGAAATTCATAAAATCTTTCTCTTAAAACAGTTCTTTGTTTGTGATCCTGTAGCGCCAGCCACAAGGTTAAAATCATACATTATGAAGTTAAGAAAAATAATGTTATATTTATATAATTATGTACTTAATTATCACTCCAGCTTCCGTTCCATTCTATCCGCCCCCAGGGATTTCGAATTCGTAGCAAATTTTCCTTTTTATTCTTGTATGTTACCTAAATATTAGGTTGGTGCAAAAATAATTTCGTTTTCTTACATAGTAACATATGTTAGAAAACGAAATTATTTTTGCACCAACCTAATACAAATTAAAAACATTAGATGAGACCGATAACAGTGTTTGTTTGTTTTCTTGATTCTGTTTTTCTTTTAAATAACGCTAATTTTTAAAAATCATTTCGCCCCAAGTAAGGCAATAAAGCCACTAAGACACAAGAGTGTGAAAGAATAAGATATAAAGAGAAATATTAAAGAGCGAGAACAATAGAACGGTAATCAAACTTCTCGTTTCCTTCTTATTCGTATTCTTCTTTATGTGCCGTGTCCCTTCAGAACTTAGGCGGTCATGGCTCTCCACAACTTCCTGTCCATTATAGCTCTTAATAAACCTGGTCCTTCTGCTATTTCTCCCAAGACCTGTTCCACCATCGATTTACTTCTCATCAAGTATGTCATGCGTGGTCTTCATCTGTTTTTCTTGCCCTCTATCTGTCTCGTGTTATTAGATTTTCCAAGCCCTCCTTCCTCATTATATGCCCTATAAACCTCAACTTGTCTCTTCCTGATGTTAAGTATTAGTTTCCATTTTGTTTCTATTTTCTCCCAAACTTCGTCTTTACTCATTCGGTATCCTCAGCATCCTTCTGTAGAGCCATGCTCTACACTACTTCGAACAAAAAATTAAGAAGGAAATCCCAATCAAACCCACGAATTATTTCACTGTTTTTTTTTTTCCGCCCGTGTGTTATTTCATTTGAGAGAATATTCTTTATTTTGCTGACGAATTAATTCAGTAAAGTTATCTGTCTTGCAAGTTCCGCACACACACACACACACACACACACACACACACACACACACACACACACACACACACTAAAACTTCGCCCAAAACGAATTATTTTCTCCACCTAGGTTCGTTTGAGCACTTATAACTTGACGCCCCTCAAGCTAATGGTGTTAATTGTCAGTATAAGACGGGTCTGTGGTAATAAAACGCGCAATTGGATAATTATGCACCAGCAATGCGGTCAGTCCTCAAAATTGCGGTTAGATCTCCCGCTATCGTCTTTTCCTGTTTAAACTTTTGTTCTCGTTATGGATACTGATTCTTTTCTTATCTCATAGCCTCGTTTCTTTTATAAGCAAAATTCCTGAACAAACAAACGGAAAAATGAAAAACAAAACAGCAACGACAAGTAACTATAATTCTTGGAGACGCGAAATGAAGAGCTATAGTTCCGTCTTGTGTTGATTTTTCTGTGTTAAACAAATATATATATATTTCTTTTTTGTCTGGAAAGAAAAGTTAACTAAGATTCTTGTAAGGAAGCCCGGTCTATCTTCTCGCCTGTCCAATGTATGTTCTGTTTATTTACTAGAAAGGATTTTGTTTGCTCAAGGATTTTCTGCTTCGATGTTAACAGACGACATTTCTATGAATATTTGATGCGAACACAAATTTGATAATTGAAGTATAAATGATGTTGTAATTAACGTAAAATAATGGCGCAGTCTCAAAAAAAGTTGAAGCAGATTCTCATAGCCATTGTTTCCTACATTATGTTCAGGGAGGAACTCAAAGGTTTTTGAAGTGGATTCTTATAATCTTTACTTATATATCAAATTTTTGGCACATCAATCAAATTTTTGACACATCAATATTTATATAGTGGCCAAAGAGTACCGCGTAAAAATGGAGAGGAGAGTGAGAACGTGTGTGTGTGTGTGTGAGGGAATGAGGGAGGGATGGAAATAGAGAGTGTATGGGGGAGAGAGAGAATGAAAGAGAGTAAAAACGTAAGGTAGAGAGAGAGAAGAGAGAGAATTGAGACTGGGTGAGAGAAAAAAAGAGGAGAGAATTTGTTTAGATTTGAGTGTGAGAGAGAAAGAGGAGTGCGTGTGTGTGTGTGAGAGAGAGAGAGGGTGTGTTTGTGTGTGTATGAGAGAGAGAGAGAGTAAGGGAGAAAACTAAGAACGAAAGAGAGAGGGAGACTGAGAATGAAAGAGGGTAAAAACGTAAGGGAGATAGATAGATAGAGAACAAAATAAAGAATGAAATTGAGAATGAGAGAGAAAGAGAGAGAGAGTGGTTAGCTTGTGTAAGCGTGGGAGAGAGAGAGAGAGAAAAAAAAGGAGAGTTAGAGAAAGCGAACATGTGTGCGTGTAAGGACGAGATAGAATGAGGATGAGATAGAGTACAAGAGATGAGAAAGTGACTATATGTATGAGTTTGTAAGTGTGCCTGTGTGTGCGTCTGTGTGTGTGTGAGAGAGGGAGAAAGAGAGGGAGATAAAGAGAGGGAGAGAGAAATAAAACGAACTGTTGAATAAGTATAAAAGAAAACGAACAAAATCTAAAAGGTATCCATTCAAATAAAATAATAAATTCAGTAATGATATAATTCTTTGCTAGATAAAGTATTGTCAATTATTAAATTTTTACAGGTATTTCTTTCATCTTATTTCTCTTGCTTATTTATACCAAGTACTAATAAGATGTAATAGTCTTTACAAAATATCTACGCTGATGAAACAACTCCTGTGTTAATAGTAAATCTGATCATTTCGATATAGTTAAATTGCCAGCAGGAGCGAAAATGACCTACAATCTGTTGTTAAATGGAGCAAGTAGTGTCTTGTTGATTTTAACGCCATCAAAAGGAAACAGCGCTCTATTACCCATCTGAGAGAACCCTTATCGATCTTCATCAACATGGCTGATGCTAACTGACAGGAAACTGACTCATTCTTCCTTCTCGGACTAATGTTTTCCACTAATATCAACTGCTTGGTCTGCTTCGATTAAAGTTGGTACACTCTGTTGTGCTAAACAATGTTCTCGCCAGAATCTATCTTACATATTTATAAGTCTACCATCGTCCTTCCTTTGAATATTATTACCACATCTAGTCTGATGCTCTTGCTATATATTTAGAGATTTTTGATGACATCCAAATAAGAATCTGCAATGTTACTGGCTCTAACCTGGCATCTCGAGTTCACTCAGCTTCCGACTGCGTAACGTAGCTTTTTTGTGCGTTTACTATCATGATAACTGTTCTGATGAGATTTTTTCTATGGTACCTAGACTTTATGAATTTAAGCGCAGTACTTGATTGGCGGTAAGGTCTCATCATTTTAGAGTTGAATTGGCTAGATGTAATCGTAAGTTCTATGCTAACAGTTTCTTGTGCAACTCAATTGCGAAACTGTCTTCCGGCTTCTTGATTCACAGTCAATTTTTTTTTCTTCAAAAATTTAAATGCAATGTCTCCTGGAGGTTAGCATCCGCTATGTCAAGGGAGGTAGAAAAGATGTTCTCAAACAGTTAAAACAGAGCAATTTCGTTTTAGAGGTGTAAAAATTAACAAGCCACTCACTCCTTGCCTCATTTAGATTTTTGAGGTCAACTGCCAATTTGACGTTCTCAAACCGATCAGACTTACTATTAAGACTATTATTAATGTTAATTTCCACTGCATTTGAAAATTAGTCCCCCCCCAAAAAAAGAAAAAAAAAACAAATACAAAAAAGCTATTCAATAGTCAGCATTGAAGAAGGCCACAGGAGTAGCCGAAATGTTGTAATTCTCCAAAATTTTATTGCGTTCCCACATGTCAAGTAAATGAAACGCTGAAAAAATACACAAAGAATATCTTTGTCATTGCTATATATATATATATATATATATATATATATATATATATATACATACATGTGTGTGCGTGTGTGTATCAAGGACTTCGGATAAAGTAGTATTTATTAGAATCAATAGAATTAATCTTATCTGAAGTCCTGACAAAAGATGAAAGTTGACATCCGATAAATATTCTGATATTACTGATTCCACAATTACACAGCGAAAGAAAATTTCGTTCTTTTTGGTCAGTAAATTCTATTTCCTATTTTGCTTCTGTCTAGAAAGTAAAGGAAAAGAAATGACTTTTATTCCTTTCAAACTTTGCCTTTGTGACCTGAACATCGATGTTTTGAAAGAAATCTATGTTCCTTTGCATTCAAGACAGATTCAGCGCTGACTTGTTGAAGGAGAATTTTCTAGAACTTTCTAAAAGTTTCAAGAATTTCTAGAACGTTCTGGCAACATAGATGGCAGTATAAATACAGGGAACGTAATAACAACAGTTTATTTCTAGTTGATATATATATATATATATATATATATATATATATATATATATAGATAGATAGATATAATATTAGTGGTAAATATACACATACATATGCAAAATATATAAATATATATACATAGGTGCATACACATAGATGTATATTTTTTGAATAAAAATTTCCAAGAGGATAGAATCCAGGTAGAACTCAATGTCCAGGACAGAATAAGATATAATAAAAAGGCTTAAACAATTTGTAGGTCTGATGAATTGGATCGTATTTACGATTCCAATGGAATAAATTATGACCATGGAATATTAGTGTTTTTTTTTTTTTTTTATATATATATATATATATATATATATATATATATATATATATATATATATATGAAGAAAAATATATACGGAAAAAAACAAACAAAAATCCTTATATACAATTATGCTGTTTTAATGTTAATATGTCAACGTCGGACGTTTCGGTCTAATAAACCATCTTCAGGACATATTCATAAATTATAACATTATCAATACAATATGACAAAGATGATGTACATAAAAACAAGACTTATCCAAACAAATAACTGAAAGTGTTATAAGATCAGCGCCCCGTTTAAAACATGGTCACGTTGTCGTCACGTGGGCGACGCTGTGAAAACGTATTCCTAAAATTTGAGTATTTTGAATGAAAAATGAAAAGAATTCTATTTTGATCTAAAATTTATATGTACGCTTGTCGAGCATTAATTAATATTTCCCCTTTTCTAGCGAGATTAATCAATATGTCCTGAAGATGGTTTATTAGACCAAAACGTCCGACGTTGACATATCAACATTAAAACAGCATAATTGTATATAAGGATTTTTGTTTGTTTTTCCGTATATATTTTTCTTCATACTGTCGGATTTATATCCATATATTTATTTATATATATATATATATATATATATATATATATATATATATATATATATATATATATATATATATGACAGCTGTACACTAGACAACTGGTGAGCACTTTATTGGCAGAAATTCTATTCATTCTCATATACACCGAATTATATGATTCTGCGTATACCAATAGGTAAGTGCATTATCATTACCCACTCGCACACGCACATGCATATGGTAGTGTGGTCAAGTGGTTAGAACTGAGGTCAGCAACCCCCAGCTTCCGGGCTACATACGGTCGGCGAAGGATTTTTTGCTTAATACCTGGACACTAATTATGTAATTAATTTGTGGAGCAAATTGCAATAAAATATCATTTGGAGTTAATTGACTTACAATGCGACAATTTTTTTAAAATTGAAATTTAATTCCGAATCTACTGCTGACTTCTACAAGAAATATGTTTTGACAAGCGGCAAATAGAAAAGGCCTATTAAATACTTCGAAAATGACTGTATCATTATTTGGATGTACATATGCTTGTTGTTGTAACCTAGAGAAGGTTACTGAATGAGGAATAACCAAAACGGAGGTTGGAAATGAAATGGTAATCTTTAAAACATCGACAAAATACAATACTCGCCAGCGGCGTGAAGTCGGTAAACCACTGCCAGTGGTCGACTACTTAGACACCATATTAACCCTCCCTCTTACAATAGTGTCCAACGTATTTAAGAGGATTGGGACATACCCTTTAGTGTTCATAGTTTCGGTATATAACATATTGTCAAATCATTTTTTTATGTTTTTAATCTATCTATCTATCTATCTATCTATCTATCTATCTATCTATCTATCTACTTCATTCCTATGTATCTATTCGTTGTAACTTAGAAAAGGTTACTGAATGAGGTATAACTAAAACTGTGGTTAGAAATGAAATGTTAATCTTTATAACTCCAACAAAATACAATACTCGCCAGCGGCGTGAAGTAGGTAAACCACTGCTAGTGGTGGACTACTTAGCATATTACCACGACTTACAATTAATTTCTTTTTTGGAATATTTTCTTAAAATATGTCACATAAAAACGTAATACAGGGGTCGGCAACCCCCGGGCCCTGGGCCACATGCGGTGCGCGAAGGATTTTTGTCCAGCTAATACCTGGACACTAATTATGTAATTAATTTGTGGAGCAAGTTAAAAAAAAAAAAAAATCATTTCGAGTTAATTGACTTACAATGCGACGAATTTTTTCAAATCAAAATTTAATTCCGAGTCCACTTCTGACTTCTACAAGAAATATGTTTTATTCCGAGTCCACTTAAGTTAATATTTAATATTAATTCCGAGTCCACTTCTGACTTCTACAAGAAATATGTTTTGATAAGCGGAAAATAGAAAAAGTCTATTAAATACTTCGAAAAGGATGGTATCATTATTTGGAAGTACATATGCTTGTGAACAACTTTTTTTCGAAAATGAAAAAGTCGTTTAAGAACAAGATTGGTTGATGATTGGATGATGTTTTGCTCCTGCCATCGACAAATATTTCACCTGATGTGAAGAATTTACCAAACAATAAACAGAAACAGGAGTCTCATTAAATAATTTACCATTTCTAACTGTATTTCTTTTATGGCAAGGAATTTGTATTTTTTGTTGATTGTGTTAATCTTGTAGTAAAATAAGTAACCTTGTTTAAATAATATAGCATTAATTTGATTGCTTTTTTCTTTAAACTTCCAGACCAAAGGCAGCATTCTGGACAAAGCAGTCTAAGAGCGAGACAATTTGTTATAATACATTGGATATCATAGCCCTACTCCAAGACAATGCATAGCTTTCTGACCCGCTCTCTCCAAAAGGTTGCCGACACCTGGGTTAGAACGTTCGATTTCCGACCCAGATTCAAATCGTACCTCGGTTTGTCAGGAGCACGGTTAGAAAGTGCCTCAAAAACCATACCCCTGGTTGAGCAAAGTCTTGTGATCGAAATTGGGATTTACAATTCATCGTAACCCTGAGCATTCTGGCCTTGAACAGACTGTTGTTCAAACCAGATGATGCGTTCATTTCCAGAGACTGTAATTAAGGCCCGCTCAGCATAGTTGCAGCATCAACCACATCTT